CACGGGTAGTGAAACAACAAAGCTAACGACTATTTTATTTCACAACCTTTGGAAACGACACGACAAACACAAGACAATGGCGGGGCGCATTGCAATCGCGCGACTAAATCATATTGTTCCTATCTGAACAGGAACGCTAAGAGAATGTTCTACTACAAACCACTAGAATCAAATATACACTACGACAGCTCGGTCCGCTACATGGCGTGCTTGGTCTGCTGACAGTGTCGCTTGAGGGTTAGCGGCGAGCTGAACAGCGCCAGGCACGTCTTGCAGGGAAACTTGTTGAAGTGGCCCATCTCGTGCGAAGTCCAGTCGGACCGGTCGTAGAACTTCATCGGACAAAAGCCGCAGCTAAACGAGACGCGGTCGTCGGACTCGCCCTCCTCTGCGCCACCTTTCTTCTCCTTCTCCTCATGCCCACCATCCCTGCCTACTTCCCTGGTAGCATCATCCCCAGGCCCCTCATCTCCGCTCTCGTCATCGTCGTCGTCGTCGTCGAGCTGCACAACAAGCGGCTTCGAGGCGCCAGTCTTGCGAGCGGGTCTGGGGGTGGCTCGGGGGGCCGCGGAGGTGCTGGGAGTGTTTCTGGCAGCGGTGCTCAGAGCGACTCTAGGGGTTTGGGTAGTTCTAGGGGCGGGTTTGGCTCGCGCTCGCAGCTGCCCCTGCGACTTCACGCGAATGCCGCCGGTCGCGCGACCGCTCAGCACAGCCGAGGACTTGACACCTGTAACAGAGATGCCCGAGTGAGTTCATATGGCGCTTCAACGCAGCGCTTCATGAGAGTCTCTAGGCCGCGAGAACGACAAAGATACAGAACACGGAAGAATACAGGACGACAAGCACACAGAAAAACAAAGACAACGGCTATTTTGAAATGGGTACTTGGTACCATTACCTAAATCTACAAAAAGCCAACACAGGCTAGAGTGTCCAAGGGAAAAGCATGAAGAAAAAAAATAATTACAAGAAACAGACTTTAATCTCAAATAGAACAAGATAGAAAAAGTCAGAGCCAAATGCCGTGGCGGGCGCCAACGTGCTTCTTGCGTTTGCTCTTCTGCGTGAAACTCATCCCGCAGAAGTCACAGACGTAGGGCCGCTCCCCCGTGTGCACCAACATGTGGCCCTTGAGGGTGGAGAGCTTTTGGAAGGCGGCGGGGCAGGTGGGACACTTGTGCCGTCGGTCGCCGTCGCACGTGCCCAGGAGTGGCGTGTCCCGGCGCAGCGACGGTCTGCGGCGCGTGGCGAGGGCCTCGTCCACCAGCTCCAGGGGATCTGCGCCAATACACGCGGGCTCCGTGAGTACAAAATGACACGGGCGTACGCCAACACCAACGCCGAGAGATGCTTCATTAAAGCGAAAACAATTAAGTTTCTCACATTTATTTCCAACACGGTAAAAAATATATAGAAGATCCAGCCAAATGTTTCTGGCATTGCTCAATCACCAAAAAAAAGAGAAAAATAAAAGTAAACAAAAAATACAGCAGTAGGGTCAGGGGTCGGGTCAGCAGCGAGCAGTGTGTCCTCGACGAAAGGTGTGCCGGCGCAGGAGGTAGAGCTCAGGGAAGGACAGGTTGCAGGTTTCGCATTCGTGCTTCAGGCGGCCCATGTGCGTCACCTGCTCGTGCTTGCGACGCATGTACTTTGAGGCGAACGACTCCTCACACTCGCGGCACGGATAGCAGGGAGCCGCCACAAAGCCACCCTTCTGCGTCTGAGACAAGATCCAGGTTCCCGCACCATCGTGATCTGCGGCAAGAGAAGACAGTGAGAGGCTGGCTGGGAAGAGAGGCAAGAGGGCAACAGGGGGATGTGTCGGTTTAAATGAAAGTATGAATTAGAGGGGGTCAGTGCAAAAGAGCTACACTTTAATAGAAAAATAGTAGCACACACAGGTGCTTGGAGGAACAACAACAGCCACCACAAGAACAAACAAATAAATAAAAAAACATGAACACAACACCATAAATGCTGTTACAAAAATATGACAAACGGTTACGTTAAACAACCAAACTTGTTAACAGCAAATAATTACCCTCAAAGGGTAATCCTCTATAAAATATATGCACAAATTTAAGGTGCTTTACATAAGAGAAAAAAATATATTCATTTATTATTGTTACATAGAATATATATATATACCTATCATTTGTATATGTAGAACAATGACACAATCAACAAATGTGGTCAACAACGTAGTAATAAAACAGTAATAGAACCCTCATTTGTCACCGGGGGATCACGTGAACAATAGTGTTACAATTTTTTTTTACAATGGTGAGTCAGGTAAAATAAAGTAAAAAAACCCATAACCGACAAAACATTTGAAAAAGAAATTCCAGCTCATCTTTCCTCAGTCTGGTTGCCGCACAGATGGTCGCCGCCCCAGCCGGCGGCGCGGCGCGTGCTACCGGGACGGGCGCACGTCCACGCCGTGCCGGATGAGGACGTGGCGGCGCCGCTTGCTGGACTCGGTGAAGCTCATGCCGCAGAAGGCGCACGCGAAGGGCTTGTCGCCCGTGTGGATGCGCGTGTGCACGTGCAGGTGCGTGCTCTGGTTGAAGGCGGCCGGGCACACGTTGCACTTGTAGGGCCGCTCGTTGGTGTGGCTGCGCCGGTGTCGCAGCAGGTGGCCGGCGTAGGCGAAGGCGGCCCCGCACGTCCCGCACTGGTACGGCTTCTCGCCCGTGTGCGTGCGCGCGTGCTCCTTGAGCGAGTGCTTGGACGACAGGTACTTGGCGCACACCGGGCACTGGAACAGCGTCGGCGGCACCAGCAGCACTGCGCACAACAGAGCACGCCCGTTAGCCACTCAGCAGAGGGAGCCCGCCGAGGCCTTGGACAAGGCGGCGCCCCTCGTAGGGCTCCTCGGCGGGAGTTTCAAACAGACCAAGTTGGAGGAATTATATACACGATAAGTCGAGTCACTAAACCAAATGACTTCCCGAGTCTTGTATTCTCCAGATTACAACTGGAAGCGGGGTGCAACAGTAATGTACAGAGCATGGTGAAGTGAAAAAAAGCGACTTTCAAGGAGTGCTGTGCTTACCTGACCAAAATCATTGCCACCACCAAATAGAACAAAAAATTGGGATATTTGTATGAAAAAGTTTATTGCAATGTGAAGTATATCTTGAATTATTATCTTTATTAAGCGTAGAAAGGCAAACTGTTTTTCTTCAGTCAGGAAGTTAAATGAAAACGAGCACCATCGGCAAGAAAAGTAAAATCATAACTGTCCAACTACCCTAACAAATGGCAGTTTTGAAAGCACTTTACACACATAGATGGAGACCCTGGGCATAGCCGACAAAAAGTGTACACTCTAGAAGTCTTGCGCCGAGCATATTCTCGGCCAAATTGAACACTAAGAGACTTGTAACAACTTCGACATTGCTTCCGGGGACATCTGCAAAAAGAGAAAGAAAGCAAGGTGAAATTCTTCCGTAGACAATTATATAAAGAAAAATACATGCTAGAGGTTGTCTTCTTCTAATAAATCTACACTGTTACCTTGCTCCATTCTGACTAATATTCTCGAGATAATGCTGGTGATCACCTATAAAGAGATAATAACATGTCAGTACAACCTGGGAGCACAAGTATAGCGGAGTCTCCAATAAAGTCATGCCCGCTATTCATGACATTCATGAATCATGTTTGCATTTGGTTCAAATTAGGACTGGAATTTAAAAATGTTAGCTGCTTTATTATCACAGAAAATGGAAAGGTTCAAGATTCTAAAAAAAATTAAAAAGTAAATACTGAACAGAAAACAAAATAAGTTGCCAATGAAATACATCCAAACAAAGACAATAAAGAGAAAGGGAGAAAACAGACATTTCTTGAACGTACAGTACTAAGCATAGGTAGATTGTAGTACGTGGGACCGACACAAGACATATACCAAGCCAATAGTATGGTATGTTCTTTATAATAATAGCACTTTGCCTTCTTCCTGTGATAAAAAGAGAAACATTGTAAGTTATTTTGTTCGAGAGATAGAAAAACTTAATTTGCTCAATTTTTACAAAAACATACCACTGGAGACACTGCATTCTATTGTCTATGAACATCCCGATGCTTACGACTTATATGCATTACAAGATTATCTTTTCTGAATGTTTTTTGAGGACAGTAGGGGCACTGATAAGGACGTTCCTTGGTATGAGATCGCTTGTGGCGGATGAGATCTCCTGCATAGGCAAATGTAGATGAGCAGACATCACATTGGAAGGGACGTTCACCAGTATGTGTTCGCAAATGTCCCACTACAGCTGCTTTGGATGATAACTTCTTCCCACATACAGGGCATGATGTACCCAAATCTGATCGCTGAACAGCTCCAGCCCCAATGAAGTTGAAAACATCCGGGAGCTTGCCTGCATAGAGAAAAATTGTGAGAACTTGGACTTGAAAGCACATAACATAGAATAGCAGATTGTACACAATATAAGAAAGGAATGAGTATAATAGAGGGCGTTTACTAGAGAATGATTGGTTGTCAAACAAGTTATAAAATATTTACTATAATGAATTTAATTTCTGCAAAAAGAAAATACATCACAAAGATCAGATTTGGTTAAAATGTTGGGGATAGAAGTCATAAAAAGGAGACACAAAATTAATGTGTTGACATTTTTAGTGACTACCAGCAAGAAAAATAGTATATCTATGACTAGTGACAACATATTAGAGTTTATAACTACCTTAGAAAACAACTACAATGTCTATAATACAAATGGAAAAATAAATAAATAGTATTTACATCTCTAATATTTTAAAACTGTGAATTGCGGAATCATCTTAAACAACAATTTCGATGTTGCATACATTCCAAGAAGTTTAGTTACAAGATTTAGCTAATGGGATATTCATGTAAAATTGAGCATACCAGGACCATGTTTTCTATTAATATGCATTACAAGATTATCTTTTCTTATTGTACGCTGAGGACAATAAGGACACTGAAACTGAGGAGAAAAGCCACATTCTGTTCGAATATGGCGAAGCATAGTAGATTTCCATTGATATCGGCGAGGACATTGTGGGCACTTGAACTTTTTCTTGGGAGGTACTTTGACTGGTAACTTCCCAATTCTATCCAGTGCACATTGATAGCCACTATGGCTGTCAGGGAAGGCTAAATTGCCTACTGCAAGAGAAAAATTTTATTAGAAACAATTCCCAGGACACAGAAGACACAAAGTCACTTCCTGAATTTGACACGAAAAATTTAACAGGGACAGTTAAAATTTGGGGTCTTTCATTTTTATATTCTTGTGAAAATCAAAGACTTAAATAAAATAAAATTACCATAATATATTAACTGCACACCTCTCGCATCTTAAAGCACTGGTCAGGTTACACATGAAATAGAGGTAGGTTGATAGATTACATAAATGTAATTCAATCACAATCAGAAATTTACAAAGAGGTTGCACACGAGTATGGAATGTAGTAGACAAGACAAAAGAAATGAAAATATAAGAGCAATACCAGGTATAATTATAGAATCTGCAGTGCCATTTAAGTAGAAGAACCATTTTTCAAAACATGTAAATTGACTATAGGTTGTGAAACTGAAGTGAATATTTTAAGACTAAATATGAACAAATAATGTCCTTTAATATGACACAATCACACACAACCACTCATGATTTTAAAAAATACCTCATATTTGTTTCTTTGACTAGGGAGATTTGTACAAGAATAGACTTCAGAATATATTTATTCAAGAAAAACCAAGGAATCTCTTGGAATAGGAAATTTTGGTGCAGCAGCGCAGTCGTAAGGTATCATTTGATCGGCATGTTTATTCATGATATGTTTAGTAAGGTTTTCCTTCCGCTTGGAGCGGTGATGACAGAAGGGACATTTATACTGGGGGTCTTTACCACACTCCTGCAGATGTCGATCTAGACCCTTCTTCCAACTGTAAACTTTTTGACAATGGGGGCATGTCTTTTCCTCCATACTATAGCCATCTGGAAAAATAAAGGAAAAACAACTTTAGTTAGAGCAAGTGTCAATAAAATAACTGAATGACTGGATGGTTTTATACTACAAGATTGATTTATATTTTTAAAAAAACATTCATTGAAAACAATATGAAGAAAAAAAAAACAGAGCAACTAAGTAAGTCTACGTTTTATTATGAAATTTAACGATAACAGAGATATTAAAAGTTACGATTACAAACATACATTATCCAGAGATTCAATGAAATATTAAGAGATTTAAAATAATGAAAAATATTAACTTCATCAGGAAACAGTACTACACCACAGCAACAATAAGGACAGAATGTACCTCATGGAACAGCCAACACAGTAAATGACTAATGATAAAATCTAGAATATGACAAATGTACCCTGTTGCCCATGTAGCCCTACAAATTGATGAAAAGACTGAGAAGGCATATTTAGAGTTAAGTGTCTAAAAAATTATTAATAATATCCGCAGGGTTAATTTCACTGTGTCTTCTTTTCATATGTTTTGAAAGACTGTCTTTTCGTTTACATCGATATTCACAGAAAGCACAACTAAGCCTTGGTTCCTGGCCACACTCAACCAAGTGCCTTTCAAGTCCTCGTTTCCAGCGATACACTCTGTGGCAGTTGGGACATGTTCTCTCTTCTTGGGTGAAGCCCTCGCCACTTACTTCATCACTCCCTGAAAAAAGCAAGTAGATGTCAGATTTTTAATAGAAAGATAGATGATGGAAACAAAAATGAGAACATTTCAAGGTTTTTAGCCACCACCTTAACTATTAGAAGGTCTTTGCAGCCTATTATAATAAGGCAGAGCAGACACAGAGGAAAAGGAGGCTGTTCCATTCGTTAAGACAAAAACTCTCCCAAAAAATAAAATAAAAAGATACAACCGATACTAGTTTATTATTTAGAGAAAAAGGAATGAAGAAGAGGAACGGCGAGATAAAACACCACATTAAAAAATTAACGATGGCCAACCGACATGCCATTTTGCTCGGACGCCAAAATAATGACGGCAAAATAAATGCGGCCCCAAGAACACGACTGAGCTGCTTTATGTAGCTGGCTGCTTCCTTCAGATGCTGAGGCTAAGCTGAGGATGGAGCGCGCAGCCTCCAATGATTTAAAAAAAAAAAAAAAAGCCCAAGACCAACGGCACCAAGCTTCGAGGCCACAGAGCCGTCCCTTCGGCGGGATGGAACACATCTATCCTGAATGTGTGAGGTCCTGGTGGAGTCTCTCTAGGTCACGCCGGCACGCCAAAGTCCGACCAGTTGGCGGTGCCCAATGGATTACTAGACGGTTTTGACGGACGAGTTCCTATGAGTGCACGTTAGGGCACACGCCAGTAAGTGCTGCATTGGATGCCGGCGGACACCGTCTCCGTTTCAGACTGTCCTGTCACGCCTGTCACTCGGTCGCCACGAGCTTTGCGGGCAGAACTTCCTCGTCCTGGCGAACTGCTGGGGATATGGGGGCGGGGGCGGGGGCGGGGCGATCCCGCATCCGAATCCCGCGGGGGACGATTTGAGGGTAGCGACGTGCGATCGAAAATCTAACAGGAAATAAAATGCTTACGTTTAAAACGTTCAGTACGGCATGACCACAAAATGGTCACCCCCCATGTTGAATCAGAAACGTCAAAAACGAGCCGCACTGAACGTGTTGACAGCCTACCTGCCTGCCTACCTGCGTGGAACTTTACGACCCAGTCAATCGATATCAATAAAGTCGACCAAAGTTACCTGTGCCGCACTATACACGACAATGTAACCAACAGCTGATCGACCTGATGGCTCGCAGTGAGAGGGGGGGGGGGGGGGGGCAGCGGGGCCGGAGGGGAGGGGAAATATTCGCGCCGCGAACCGTGACAGGAGGCGCACTCTATCGACAGAGCCTTAAACACTTCCCCTCAAATCAAAACATACTCTGCTTGCAAAACTTACAAGATCAAAAAAAAAAAAAAAAAAAAGGTAGTTTTGCACCGCTCGCAAACAAAATGTACGCATGAAATGAATTGACAGGAAAATGGAAGAGGTGAATATGCGAACAAAGGTTTAACTATCACTCATAAACAAAATTGTAACAAAACAAAGTAAGGGATGTGACAGAGAATTTTAACCTGAGCAAGTAAAAGAAATCATGTTTGAAGTTAGAAGAACCAATGTAACATGTTCGCTCGATGACCAAGTCACAATTCGCACTTTATGAACAAAATCGTTTCTATAATACAAATGCCGCATATTTCTTTGCGGTGTCCGACGAAAATGAGACAAGGAGACGAGGACGAGACGCCGGGCTGCGCCGGACGCCGGGGGTGCGAAAGGCAAATGCGGGCATAACAATGCAGATTTCACGCTCTCAAACCAGGAGCCCTGAACTACGCACTGAACCACATTGTAAATAAAATGCAGCCTTCTGACTCACGTGGCCGCAGCTCAGGGAAAATGTTGGCTTCCAGTAGACTTCAAGAAACAGCAAACACGTCCAGCCAGATGAGAAGTCGTAATCCCACAGGTAAAGGCACAAATGATGCACTATCACAAATCTGGTGGTCACTTCACAACACTAGCACCACTATCACACGTCGTAATACGGGAAGGGGAGCGTAAAAACTCAGAGACAACTCGAGAATAGGGCAAGGGGCGACGGCAACCGGCGAACAAACGCGAACCGGGGGAGGTTATGTTGCCCATGGGTAAACAACACAGCATGCTCCGTTCCTGCGGGCGGAGGTGCGGAGCGGCGCGGGGCGCGGGCAGGACTCGTGGCCTCTGGCCTCCTCAAGTTCCCCTTCCCCTCCCCTCCTTGTCCCCTCCCCCCGCGGATACCCCGCCGGCCTGGGGCAGCCCCACCCCACACTTCCCACACCACACCGCACCCCCCACCTGCAGACTTCGCTCGACCTTCGTCAGCCAGCTGTAACGGCACGGCCTCGGCCTTGGGGAACGCGACGAAACAGGGAGCCGCATTGTCGTCGTCGGGGCACGGGTGAGGGATGTCAAGGGCCAGGGCCCCGGGCCGAGGTCGACGCGGTGCTCGACTAGGGACGTGCCCCCGCCCCCCATCCAGGGAAACCCAACCCCCGGGACCTCGACTCTCAGCGACGCTGGGGGCGCAGCTAGAGTTCCTCAGGGAGGACCACGTCGGCTTTCACTGCAACTGCAAAGTGACCTGCAATGTGTCCGTCAGACTGGATTGGTTTCCGCAGCAGAACTAAAAGAGACTCCGGTACAAAGTTTCGCACACGTTGGCGTATTATTAGAGAGCTAAAGGGCTTCATACAAAACCACAACAATGTCACTTAGACTAGTTTCACATTTTCACATATCAATAACATGGCGACCGGAGAGGGCTTCCCCCGCAGGGACAACAACAAGAACACATGTTCGCGAGTTCGCACGGCTCGGCCCTGAGGATCCTGGACGATGTCGATGGTGTTGAGCAGCGCCTATGGCAGCGCCAGGGCCAGCGGGTCGGGCTGGCCGGGTCCCGCGGCGGCCGCGCTGTGCTTGAAGCGAATGTGGAGCGTGAGGTTGTAGGGCTGCTTGCAGCTGTACGGGCAGTGCGGGCAGAAGTTGGACGGCGCCTTCCCGCACTCCAGGCGCACGTGCCGCAGCAGGTTCTTGTGGTGCTGGTACGCCTTGCCACAGCTCCTGCACGGGAAGGCAGCTCGGCGGCGCGAACCCCGCGATGTCACAAACGGCGGGCGCGGCAGCAGCGGCCGCACGAGCAGCTCCTCCGCGACGGGCCACAGCTGGCCACCTGGAAACACATTACCGAATTAGTGGGGTGGGGTCGATGCACCGAGGGGGGAAAGGAAGGGGTGCAAGGTCGTGAGGGTTCGAGAGACTTTTGTGGTAAATCGAACATTTGTGCGAAATTATAGGTATCGAGTTTTAATGGCCACACAATGGTTGAACAAACAATTAAGGACTAGATCCAAACTCCATTTAATTAAAACAAAAACATGATCCCAGAACGGAGTCCTTCTACAAGTCGCGCCGAGCCTCAGCTCGCGGCATGTGTTGTGACGTAGATCTGTCGTCCTGAAGGGGTGATGGCAATGGTCCTGACTAGAGGGTTGGGGTCGGGTCCCAGGTCGGGGGCCGGTGCCGGGGCGGGTGCGGGGGTGGCGGCCCACTCTACGACGGGCATCACGGCGGCCACCCCGTGCGGCGGCTGCGGCTGGACGGGCATCGCAGCGGGGAGCGCGCCGCGGGGCTCGTGCTCGCCGCCGGCATCCTGGAGGCACAGGGGGTCCTCCCCGCCCAGGTCGGCGAGGTGCTGCTGCCCGACGAGCAGCCCCGCGTGGCGCCGCCTGCAGTGGCGCCGCAGGTCCGACTTGTGCTTGGACACGTACTGGCAGTAGGGGCAGGTGTAGCGGGCCAGCTTGCCGCACTCCTGGAGCAGGTGGCGCCGCAGGTTGCGCTTCCACTTGTACGCCTTGCCACAGCCCGGGCAGGCGTGCGCGTGCGCGTGCGCGGCCAGCGGGGCGTGCGGGTGCCTCCCCCGGGGCTCTGCAACATCAAAGACATGGTTAGACAGGGTGCGGCAGGGTTGGGCCGGGTCTCATCCAGCCCCTAGCGTGGTGATGATCAGAACAACATGACCCAAAAATGTCACTTCCGAGGGATTTTTGTTTTGTTTTATTTACTGGCAAAAAATGCAAATACAATTACAACTAAGTTGCTCGGCAACGCCAATAGGACTGGAAAAATACGTTATGTCATACAGAATACAGGCAAAATTTATACAGTACAGGTCCCAAAGGGGTAAAATGACTTAAAATTATAGATTTTTGGAGAACAACAGTTTGTTTTTCTTTTCAAACTGGCACAGGTAAGATTTTCTTAATACTCTTATGGTAAATGTTTGAGTACAAAAGAATAATAAATATAATAGAGATCTTATACAAGAATACTTGAACACTAAGTAGTTCACCACATGATAAAGTTCCCAGAAATAAGGAGCCTAACAAACCACTTCACTCGCCAAGCACTGGTTACTAGTCCTCTTCCAGTCGTTACATCAGAATTAAAGATGCAGGGCTGACCGGAAACCACTGTCAGGACCACCGTCGGTGATATAGAATTGGACAATTACTCTAAACAAATGACAATTGACATTTCATTCTCATTTTACAAGAAAGAAATTTGCAAGGAGTGTTCAGACTTCTTATGACTAATAAGCTCAATCTCTGAGCAAAAGCATTTTCTTCACAAATTACACAACTCTTCTCCACCAAAATATATTACCACAATTATCATGGAGCTTAATCATACATTGACTGTTAATCATTACCCGTACTGTAATTTACACAGCACTTTTTAAATGCTGCCATGAGAATGCAATAGATTTATTTGGTTCAAAGGCACAAAAGTATTCTTTTTAACAAGTCAGATCTAACTAAACCCAAAAAGGAGTGATTATCACAAATGCATTACGAAAAATCTTAAGAAAATTTGTCCTTTTATGAACATAAAGGAGTTAACACTAACCGAGATCAGCCATATTCATGAATGCCATGAGTGCAGCAGGCTTTGGTGTCAGATCGCAGAATTTTACATGGAATGAGGCTTGCAGTGCGTAAAAGATACCTAAATATAATACAATCCTTTAATAAAAAATAAAGCAAATATAGTGGAATTTGTTTAGTTGTTTTCTTTATAAAAATCAGACGTGACTTATATATATTATATATATCTTCCTTGATTCACTCAGTGGTTACATTTCTAAAATCTTTGGTATGAGTGCATATCAAGTGGAATCATAATAAAATTAAGCCCATCACACCAAAGGACTATGACTACTTCAACACACACAAAAAAAAAACACTATTGTTTGTGCACACACAAAAATTATAGATGAGTGCACCACACACAAAATAAATTATACGCAGAAGAAAGAAAAAGAAAGGGGGGGGGGGGAATTGTGAGTAATAGAAGCGCGGATCACTGGAGGATGGGCATCTCGACCCGGCCGGCGTACAGCTGCTCCTTGTGCTGGCTGGACACGTGCTGCATGAGCCGGTCGTTGCGCTTGCTGCGGTGCGGGCAGAAGGGGCAGGGGAACTGCGGCTCCTTGCCGCACTCGAGGCGCGTGTGGCGCAGCAGGTTGTTCTTCAGCGTGTACTTCTTGCCGCAGTTCTTGCAGTCGAAGGACGGCTCGGCCTGGCGCCGGCGCACGGACGACTGCATGTTGCTCTTGAGGCGGTTGATGATGCCGTCCACGTCGAGCAGCGCGCCGCCGCCGACGCGCGAGTCGGGGTGCGGGCCGCGGGCCGCGAGCACCGCCATGGCCGCGGGCACGCCCTCGTCGACGTCGGCCTTCACCCGGCGGCCCTGGATCTGCTCCAGCCACGCAGACAGCGGCACCGGCCCCACTGCAACAGAGACACGGCGTGAGCAACAGAGTCTGAGGTGAGGGGGGCGCAGGCAGCGACATGCACTTCTACTTCAACGGGGCGAGGCGCGGCAGGGCGAGCCAGGCGGGACGAGATCGAGTACCTGGTCCCTTACCTCGTTCTGCAGCTCGGACTCTAGGCTTCCCCGCCGCCGCCCACGGCTACGTTTCACACAGTCACTCGCACACAAGCACACAGCCAGGGGCATTACAACACACGCATGCCGGGACCGGGAGGGCGAGGCCATACAGCCAATGGCCGATTTCTGCTTCTTTCTTTCTTTTATTTCAGTTGTAACAAGAGAGTTAGATCACATCGCGGGCAGGGGCGTGTCGGGGTGGCGGAGGAGGACGTGGTTGTGGAGATTGTTCCGGCGCTTGCTGCGGTAGTCACACACGGGGCACTGGAAGCGAGGCTCCTGGCCGCACTCCAGGCGCAGGTGGCGCTGCAGATTGCGCTTGAGGCTGTACGCCGCGCTGCAATTGGGGCAGGGGTGCGCGCCCGCGGCCCCCGCGGCCACGGCCCGAAGGACAACGTGCACCGCGTCCACGCCTCCGCCGCGACTGCGCCCAGACCGCCTGCCGCGCCCGCCAGCCTGAGACCACTCCCATGACGTACCTGGAAAAGAAAGCAGTGCAAGTTACTAAAACTGAGCCGAAGCTGCACCACGCCCGGGTAACATCAAGTTCAGTCCAGCGTCCAGACCCGAAAAAGTAAAACAACAAACAATACTTAACAAATCACATGTGCTATTTTTTTAACAATAATTCTTTTATTTTAAAATATCACACACAATATGGCGTTAATTATGGAAAATACAATGGTAACTACGAAGAAGAAAGCATAGATGTGCACAGCACCTAAGAAACAGTTGTATACATAAACATATCTTTAAAAATTTTCTTACAATATCCATCACAATTCCAACACGGGAGCCTAATAGCCGCCAATAATTCGTATTTGAGGAAAATATTGCTCTGACTCATACACAATACAGAAATGGAACGACATGACTCGAACTTTCATTTGAATTGGTAAAAGCTGACTAGCATAGATTCAACACAAAAATCCATCACACCATTAGCACATAAAAAAGAAGACAAAAAAAGCAAAAGCATTCATATTCATGAAACAAGTTAAAGGTACAAAATGCCATGAAATACAATATTAATAAAATCCTTTTCTTAAAAGAAATTATTTTGGGCAAGCTAAAAGTAGTCCTCAAAATAAGGCATTGCTTCTTGCAATGATAAAAGGAAAACAAAGAGAAAGAAAGGAAAAATGCACTAAAATCACACTTGGTCTTAACACTATAAGATATCACAGGGAAAACTACAGCACAGCACAAAAATTAACAGCCTCAAGCATGTGAGGTTTTGCTCACACAAAAACTGCATGTTAACATACAATATAACTTTATACTGATGTGTACATTTTATTCTCTATTCTCCACATAGAAAAACAGCGTATTTTTCTTTACCATTTTCACTCTTTCCTCAACTTTATATATCACAACTCAAAATACGACATGGAGAATAGATTGCTCCACATTTACCACACGACTAAAAGAAAGATATCACGATAATTCTATCACAAATATGAAATTGGTATACATGGGCAGCCAGCTCAATTAAAAAATAGTGTGACAAGCAACAATTAAGCTGTGTAGCCTGTCCACATAAAAGTCAACATACACAGGCAAGAAGGCATTTTTTTAGAACTTGATCGATTAAGATTATACCCAGCACATTGCTCAAACAGAACATGGCTTTTAAGGACAGTAGCCAGCACATTCACAAAGCTTGCCAAGACAGGAATACGACTACAAGACTCATTCAGAGTGTCCTGTAGGCCCCGTTCTAGTTTTTAGTTACCCTGTACCGCAGGCGAGCCAATGCAAGTTTTCATAGCGCCTGATGGGCAGGCAACACATTGCTTGCAGTGCATGCGTGTACTGCGGGGTGGCCTACCCCAAGTCTCGCAGGCGCCGAGCCACTCCGCATTTACCGAATTAATCTGAGAAAAACGCACTTACTTCCTGATCGATCCCTTACGGCGCCGAGAGTTAGCAACCCACCCACGCTATTGCATGCGGTGCGGCACAGGGCCTACGAGACCCAAGGGTGTGGGTGTTCAGGGGAGTAGTTACACATAGCATGAAGCAAGTAGAGCAGGATAAGACTTCTCTTGAATACAATACGACCGACTCTCTTAGAAAAGGCTGGCCGGCGAGGCAGGGGGCGTGGACGTCAACGGGGAGGGCGTCGCGGAGGGGAAGGGAGACACCGGCGCGGAAGACGGTGCGGGTGGTCCGTAGGAGGCCAGGCTCACATCCGCGTCAGTGGTCTGGGCCTCCACCGCGGGTAAGTCGCAGGAGGTCGCGGGAGCGTCCGCGTCCGTCTCCGCCAGGCACTCCATGACTACCTCTGGCGGGTGCTTGCTGAAGATGTGGGAGCGCAGGTGCGAGTTGCGGCGGAAGCGGCGCACGCACTGAGGACACCGGAACTGGGGCTCCATGCCGCACTCGTAGCGCAGGTGCTGCAGCATGTTCTTGCGGTAGCCGTACTCCTTGCCGCAGCGCTCGCACGGGTACGAGCCGGGCTCCGTCACGGGCTTGCGCCGGCTGCGCCGCTTCAAACCTAGCGAAAGACGACCAACAGTTAGAGCGCGGACTAGGCACGGGGTGAGAGAGATGAGGAGCCGAGGGGGTGGTCAGGCCCCGACAGGCCCACAGTAACGACACGGAATCAGACGCACGCTCTTTATTTCCAAAACAAATCCGCACGCGCGCATCACAGACAAGCACCGCACCAGGGGCCCTGCCTTCCCTGTCATCCAAAGAGAGACGCTGTGTCGAGGCCGTAAAGCTCGCCCCGATCCTTATGTTTGGTGGCAATGTGAGACTGTATGTGGTTCTTGTGCTTGGCCGCGTACGGGCACGCGGGGCACTGGAAGCGGGGCTCCTTGCCGCACTCTAGATTTATGTGGCGCACCAGGTTCCTGCGGTAGCGGTACTCGCGGCCACAGCCGGTGCACACGTGCCTGGAGGGCTTGGAGCCGGGTCCCGCCGCCGAACAAGCCCAGTCTGCAAGCAGAAGGCACGTTAGCTCCAGAGAAGTCGACCGAGCTGCACAAGAGCCAAGGCAGCGGAGGCCGCACCGGGAAACGAAAAATACACAGCACTCAGCGGGAACATCTCATACTTTATTGTGACATTGTCTCAAGTTATTCAATAACAATATCTTTGAAATGAAAAGTATTAACAGGTCCAATTTCCATCGTGCAGTAAACGGACATGCGAAAATAGATCATACTTGCGTTTTGATTTATGTTCACAAAATGGGCATGCAAATTGAGGCAACTGTCCACACTCAAACTTTAAGTGACGATTTAAGGTGCTTTTATTCTGATACACTCGGCCACATTTACTGCATGGATAAGCTTGATTATTCTTTCCATGTATATTAAATTGGAGTCCAGTTGTAACGATAGCATATGTTATATCCTCTTCACCTGAAACAACCAGAACGTCATGTACCTTATCAGAATGCAATCAAAACAGTTAAAGTAACAGATTTTAATCTAAAACCTACACTGCAAACATATGCAAACATGGATGGAGAAACATTCAATATTGTCAAGGAGACAAGTAAAATGGGTCACCATTGTAAGTTCAGAGAAAGGGAATAGGACACTAACAAACAGACAACATTATGATTATTTATCAACTTTGTGGTAGTTAATGCTAAGTCACAAAGAACTGTAGATAACTTTATTAAAGCACAATAAAGTAGCATTAAAACATTTTTAAATGTCTTTGAAGTCACTGTGGGCTTCTGGAGTGCCCATGAGCAGCTTTTGTCAATGGACATGAATTCAGATGACGCTGCATACTAGTTTTTTGAGTAAACCCTGTACTACAAGATGGGCATTTAAATCTAGGTTCCTTTCTGCATTCAAAATTTAAATGACGCTTTAAGTTTCTTCTCCAGGTATAAATCTTTCCACATTGCGGGCATGAGTAAACAGAACCATGGGTCTTTGGAACTGACTCTCTGAAATGTGACTCTGTCTGTCTCCAGTAACCTAAGATGCAACAAAAGAAACCCAAAAAATTATTTTAGTTACCTTTGTTAGTAGCTAAGTAAAAGAGGATAAAATCATCATAATAGGTTCAAACATTGGCGTTTCATCAGAAGCAGTGTCAAGATATACAAAAGTATAAAAGAGGGGTATTAAGTTTTATTTAATTTTGGTAGTGCACATTATTGACAAAAGAAATGGAGTATGGAGATAGGAGAGAAACCAGCATCTGACATACATGTTAAGAGAAGGCATCTGAGAATCTTATACTGAACCCTATTTCAAAAATCTTACTGCTTCCAAACAATATTCTCAAAACAGAGGTTATCAATGTTAATAATCAGAATTGATTAAAATTATGTGTTCATTGTGCTACCTAAGCAAGTACCCCCAACTTTGACCAAACACCTGTTCCCTAACCAAATGTGCAAAAAAACAAAACACAAAAAAGTATGAAAAATTACACATAATAAAATATATAAATGTTTATAATCATAGTAAGAGAGTGCAACAATATTATAATTAATTGCAGTCCAATACTCTTTGGTTATTTACATTTTAAAAAATGTAGATGTAGCCAGTGAAATTTTCAGACCATACAAAAGCTGGAAGAAAAATTGAATGAAACACGAACATTACATACCCTTAAAAAGTCAAAGGAAAGTTGGGTGCAACAAATTAAAATTGAATACAAATCATATACTTTATGTGTGCAGACTGTTTAACCATCTCATAAATGTCAGGTGCAATACAAGTCATATTCTGAAATAAAACAGAACAAAAAACCAAACAAGTTCACAATCTTGAGTATAAGAATAAAACTGAGGAGAAAACAATGTTTTAAATTTCTCAGTTCCTACAAAACTGCTTAAGAGCCCAAGCACATAAAGCCGTAACCAAATTTTAACTTACAGAGAACTCATATGTTATCTAACCCTTAAAAAGGTTGATGGTATACATATGATGAAACCACCAGTCTACAATATCTTTAAAAATAAGTGAAATAAATATCAAATATTACCAGACTCATTTACAACATTCACAATATCTACCAAACCATGTGTGCACTTGGTGTCTCACTCACTAATTTACTTCTCATTACATTAACACTAATTAAAAAAACAAAAAAAAAAACACATAGTAAACATAATTTAATACATGAAGTATGAAGTCATCTTAAGAAACTATGTGAATCAAGACAACAGCAAAGAGGCGTAATGGTCCACATTGAATTATTGTAGATACAGTGACATACTCGAATGCTACATAATCACTTTACTAGTGGAGATTGAAAACTGATGCACGGTTGACACCAAAAAAACTGAGTGGCGGAAGGGCGAGGAGGGGGGTGAAAACATGCAAATAAATAAAACATCATCACAGAACTATGGTAGAGAGACCCTCTCTAAACTATGGTATACATTCAGAATAGAGCAGACTCCTGGAAAAATGTTGCCACAGATGGATAACAAAAAAGTTACAATCTGTTATGTAATGAATAATTAATGTTCAGAGCAGGGTGTAGCTCTTCAAATTATGCAATGACATAACAGATGTGTGATGTGACTATCACGTTATATAGCAGCAAAATTCCATCTTTGGTAGTATACAAGTAACTTAGAAATACTAGTTCACATGATATTTGTCAATTTTTTTACCTTTTAATCAATTATCATTCTGTGCAAGGTGTTACCTCTCACTGTTCTAAAACAGAAAACCTATACAGTACACTTCCTATGGGGCACATAAGGCACACTCTAAATTACATTATATATAGATATATATGTGTGTGTGTGTAGATAGATAGAAGTATAATATTTGAAGAGGCAACAAAACAGCTTTAAATATTGGTCTGTTCAAGAAAGCAATTAGATTACATTAACATGCCCTTGCAGTACACCGTAAAGGGTTTACATGTAATTTATTTAACATACAAGCAAGGTACTTTCATCTTCTATGGATCACAGTTTGTTCTCAGGGAAAAAGTCAGTCTTGTATTGGTGACGACGGCTATTAACATGTGAAAGCATTTGATCTTTTCGTTTAAATTTCATAGGGCAAAGAGGGCAGGGAAACTGAGGCTCCTTACCACATTCCAGTCTTAAGTGTCTATTCAGTGTAATCTTCCATTTATATTGTTTTCCACAATGTGGACAGTCATGGGTGGGTGCACCTGGTAAAGGAGCGCTTGGATGTGAAGAGCTTCGCTGCCCCCATTGCTGTGTCATATCCCACGGTGAAGAAGACCGAGGCATGGCCAGATTCTTGGCCCAAACACGTCCAACTTTATCTGCAAAAGAAAGCAATAGTTAGTACAGGTACATAGAAAATAGAAAAATTCAGAATAAAACTTATTGGAGGGAAGAGTTGTGTTTAGAAAGAGTATGTGTAATGGCAGTATTTTGGGCAAATGATAGTACACAAACACTGATCTTTGCAATGCTTTCAACCAGACTCCTTTATTAGTTTTGAGCAGTGAGACAATTCTTTCTGAAAATTATACAATCTTCACTGAGAATAAAATTGATGAATGCGACTATTCACATGAGTAAGCATGTGATCTTTCCTCTTAAAACGAGCAGGGCACAGAGGACATTGCCACTGCCGTTCTTTGCCACATTCAAACCGCCTATGACGAGATAATGTCTCTTTCCAAGTGTACATTTTACCACAATCTGGGCAACGATAGCTTGGTCCAGGTCTACCTGAGGGTAAGAATGTATCTTCTGCTGCATTATCACTCAAAGAATTACTCTGATCTGTTTGGACAAGATTCCTTGAGTCTGTCCAGAGTTTGCTGTCAACACCTGTGAAGTAAACACAGTATTAAAATAGAGTGAAGAAGAAATATTATGCAAAAACCAAGTTAACAAAAACAAAAAGGATTCTATGACAATTTAAGGAATCATGGAACATATGTTCACGCCATTTTTATTATGATCTTCAAACATCACATAAAAAGAGTACAAATTTCAGTCTGTAAGTTTCAAAACAAAATATGAATATAATCATTGTGGCATTTCATAAAGTAACAGTGCTTCACACAGTAACATAATTATATGTTATTTCTTTTCCTTATTGAAACACTTTCCCTCTCTTTTTTTTTTTTACATTATTGCATTATTTTTTCACTACACATTACAAGTGTCATACTAGGCAAAGATTTCCTTATTAGTGTTCAGCCAACCTCACATATCAAAAATAAGTCAAAGTTAAAGACAGTAAATGCATGTTAATTCAGTAAAATGTCCCCCCCCCCCCAAGCCAAAAAAAAAGAACAACAAATCACTACTGTACTATATCACAAAAATTCCTCACAAATCGAAAGTTTTTATAAATGCACTAATTTACAACAAGGAATTTCATTTTATGTGAAAATGAACACAGGAAGGTATACAGACATGTGTACCAGAGAAAAAAATTTAGCAGAGTTTGCCTGACCTGACACAGGCAAGTTTTCTGCAAAACTTTGTCCTTCAGTCCAGTCCACCTCAACTAGAACACTGCCAAAATTACATTCATTTTTAATTTAGACAATGAATCACAGAAATAGAAAACAAGTACTATTCATGGTATTTTTTAAATCTAATACAATTTTAAAAGTATTCAAAAACAGAAAACAGATAAACTTTGACTTCTAAGAATACACCAAATCAAGCACAACTCGGCATGAAAAAACAAAAAAATTCGTACAGTCAGAGATATATGCACAAAAATTTTCCTTAGTATAGATGAACTTGGAACTTTGCTATTGTTTTGGAAAATTATAAACCACAGGTGAATTCTTCTGAAAGTTGGGAAGAGATGAATGGCGCTTACAATTCATATGAGCTTGTAATTGATCTTTTCGTTTAAATTTCATAGGGCACAGTGGGCACTGAAGATTGGGAACTTGACCACATTCCAAACGCATGTGTCGTACTAAAGTTTCCTTCCAGGCATAGGATTTCCCACAGCTCAAACATGTATGAGGACGATTTCGTACCTGATTCTTCGCTCTTGAGTGGACCCAACTTGGGAAGTTGATGCGATCTCTTCCTGTAGTCATATCAGTTGCAGACAGTTCATTCACCTCGGTGCATGAATATCCTGTAACACACCAATAAGTTAGACCACATTGTTTCAAGATAAATACAAGCATTGCAAAGCATTTTTTTTCAAAATGGAATTTTTTTTACAAACAAGATAAGAATAATTTTAATATCTTTTTTCTAAAGTTTATTCTAAGCAAATTCACTCACCAAATGGCTTGTGGATGCAGACCCCATGTGCATTATGCTGCCATGAACAGCAAAGCAAAGATATTTAGCCTGGCAAGTTAATATGAAGCAGAAGCTAAAGCACCTAAAGGGGACAAAGCGTTACAGAGCCAAAGAAATTATTAAGAAGGAGAAACAAGAGAGAGAGAAAGAGGGAGGGACAAAGACCTGAAGTTTGATGAAGTGAAATGAAACATCTATGAGCAAAATTTAGCTTGTAATTTTAAGCAAGAACAAGCAGCAGAAAAGAAATTTAAAGTACAAAGCTACAAACTAAATTAAAACAATAAGTGACTTAAAGGTAATGACTGTTAATAAAAGAACAGCAACAACAGAAATAAAGTAAAGTTTATTAATAATCAATCGTTAAGCACACAAATTTTTAAACTTGCTTTACTATTCTTAAAATTAGAAGTTAGAGATACAAATGATGTTTTTCACACAGGTGAAGAAAAATGTAAGTGTTGAACTACTTTTATGCTCACCAATAAAAGAGGACGGCAAAACTTTAACATAAGTTGGTTTGATTGCTAGTAAAAGATTACATCAGAATCATTTTTAAACATAAGAAATCCACTGTAACAGCTGAGAAGCATTTACTGACGATGAAGTCGACTTGCATGACGAATCATGTGACCTTTTTGCTTAAACCTCAAAGGACACATCGGGCACTGAAATTGTGGCTCTTTATTACATTCATGTTTCATATGGCGATTCAAAGTTATCTTCCATTTGTACACTTTTCCGCAGTCAGGACATACAAACTTTGCATCTGAAGCCCTAGACACAAAATTCACATCACATGGTTTTATACGGTTTGATACAAAATTTATTATTTGACTCTGAGAAGCTGGTGGATTCACTTGTAGTTGAGAAGAGGATTCCCACTTCATCCATGAAAGCGACGTTCCTGCGGAATAAAATTTGTATTACAGCGAGAAACAATCATAATGACATAAATAGACAGAAAAATGAGAAAAAGTACATCACACGTTCTCCAAAAGTCTGATTGACCTAAATCTTTGCCAGTTCATTGACAGGTGAGTAAAAGGATGTAAAGGCTGAAAGGTTTCTTTTGCAATAAAATAATTATTTCCAATATTGAATAAGAAAGTAAGAAATGTGAATAAATAAGTGCAAACTTTATTTATAGGAGTCTCAAACTAATAACCTTAATGGACTTTTACTGCAAAGCAGAAATACAAAAATATGCAAATGTAAACATTTGACGTTGATCCCATAAAACAAGTCATTTGAAGGAATGTTAAGGCAGAACTTCAAAAATAGCAGCATCGTTTAACGCGTACCTACAACTAATACATGAAAAAAAGCACAAAACACACACAAAACCACATAATCAAGATACAATTGTTTCTTTTTAAAAAATCCAGCTCAAAAAAAGATTGGAACAAATACCAGAATAAATGAGAATTGGCCTCTTTGGTTTACAAACTACAATGAAAAAAAGTGTTTCACATCTACAACTTTAAAAAGTAAATGTACATATTATTCAAAGGGTGAAAAGCACCAGTAGATGAAAACACCAAGACTGAAAAAAAAAAAAAAAAACACACAAAAAACATGAAACATGTGACTAGAACTACTGAAGCATTTATTCACAGCACAGAGTACAAGGATTGTCAGAATTTTCTTTTGTTATGAATGTTACAATGATTGTCCTGACCTGAACATCACTGTTTACTTTCAAAATGTATGTAGTTATAAACAATGAAGGTGTCTGCACACCTCCAAGTAAATGAAAGTGAGTACAGTGTGTTGTGTATCGGGATCAGCTTTAAATGAAAGTGAAAATTGGGCCCCTGGAGGTCACACTTGACTTTGTTTGACAGGAGGAAGCAATATTAATCTTCTGACATGCTGTAAATGAAATTGAAGACTACAAAAGAAATGATTAAGTGACTATAAAACTTTGGCTTGAAAGTTTAAAAGAAATGTAAGTATAAATGTACACGTTTTTTTACACTAGTTATCTCACTCTTAAACAAACAAAAAACACAATAAAAACACAACCTATCTTTGGTGAATAGCAGAAAGGCCTGAACATAAAATAAAAATATGTGCATTACCACACATACAAAATTACTAATCCACATAGTGCTTTGGCTGTACCATACAATGACATAGAAAACATAGAAATCTTATACATGAGAAGCTATATGCATATTAAAAAATAAGCTTAGGCAACAGGTAAAATATTGGAAAGTAAAAAGTAAATGTGTCAAAACTTACACATTGCACACAGAAACAAATTTAAAAAAAATTAAAGTAAAAAAACCTATTACACAGTCCATGTAAACAGTTCCAGAAAATTTTGCTGAATGACTATGTACTATAGAAAATAGTTTGATATACAAGAGCAACTACTAATCAGACTTTTTAGTTGTTATCAATATTGCTTTATGATAAGAAGAAGTATTCTTTCACATAGAGGTACTGGTTAAAGCACAGTATAAAAATAGAATACTACAGAAGAACAACTTCAAAAATATACCTAAACTGGTAGATTGATTTTAGATCCAGCAAAACCTAAAATATTCAAGGAGCAGTGAGGATGCAGACGAGTAGCATGGCGGAAGACATGGCACTTTTGCTTGAATTTTTGAGGACAGAAAGGACATTGGAACTGAGGTTCCTTATTACATTCAAACTTTGAGTGACGTAACAGATTTCTTTTAAGTCCATACATTTTTCCACAATCAGGACATTTAAAAGAACGTTGACCGAGTATTTTGTCTTTCCTGTCAGTTCCATTAGTAGTCAAATTCAGACCAGAGGGGTAAAAGCCATCATTTGCTAGTTGTGATGCTGCCATCAAAATTTTGGTTTGAGTGAGAGCTGCTGCTGAAGCCTTCAGTACATCATCACGGAAAACAGTTTTAGGATCTGTAAAAGAAATAAAATGTTAGTGGTTGTTCTCCTAAAATTTTAAGAGTTATAATTTACTTGCATGCTGTAGGGTGATATACATAGAAAATAAGAACACATTAGAGCTTAATTTTATATATTCCTTAAAGAAATGATACAGGTACAAAAAGATCCATTAAGATTACACTAACTACAATACTATATTACCAACACATGTGTTGTTCACAGATATTTCATTATGATTTATCACTACGAAGTCAACAAACTATGAGTATTTCATATTCAATGCCTTCTTGAACCTTGATCAGCTATTTTAAGTTTACATATAGTGAAATATCTATGCCCTTGAGGGCTGTGACACATCAAGTTCTTCCCAGCCAAACTGGTAATTAGTGTCATTATGAGCAACTTTCATAATATGAGTTTTCAAGTGACTCTTTTGTTTAAATTTCCTTGAACACAAATGACATTGAAATTGAGGTTCTTTGTTACACTCCAATCGTAAATGTCTCATTAATGTCTTCTTCAGATAATACCGCTTCTGACATTGATGACATTCAAATGGCTTATCTGTAGAAAATCTTGAACGCATTTGCTCCATTCCTTCACTTTGAACCACAGAAACCAGTCCTTCTTGGCTGCTCATTCGACCAAAGAGATGTTCTGAAAATAAAGACAACAGGTGTGAGAGCCAAATAACATGTGCAGTTAGCTAGGGCATTCTTAGTGGAAACCCTTAACTGCTAAACATATGATAAAATGCACTATAAAAGAATGTTACAATCCTTTGGAGATAACATTTTTTATAATTTTAAAACTGTGTTTTCAAAATTTACCACTACATGGCTTTGTCTCAAGGTGACAATAGGTAATAGATTGTAAAGAAATAGTTTTCTGATAATGTGTATTTGAGTAATGAACAATGCAGAATAATCATCTTAAGTCACTTTTAATACACCAAATCAAAGACACAATTCAGGTATTATTTCATTTTCCACACACTTGAGAACTCAAATGTGTCATTAGATGAATTTTCTGTCTAAACTTCCTGCCGCAAAGGGGACATGAAAATTTGGGCTCAACATTGCACTCCATATGAACATGGCGCCATAGTGATTTCTTCAAAACATAACGTTTCCCACAAGTGTTACAGGCATGAGGACGGTTACTATCTGGAATAGGATTTTTTGCATGTCTCCCTCTTGGTTTCTGAAGAGGAGGATTGAAGTTTCTTGACACAGTCCTTCTTGATAAGTCTGAGTGACTAAATCCAATCACTTCAGTTGAGCAGAAACCTGAATCTGGAAGAACACAGGAACTCATGTCAGTAATTTTCAGGCAGACGTTGGAGAAAAATGGATAGTTATAAGTTGAACTGAGTAAAATTTCACACTGACAGGCCTCAGCTACTTGATTGCCTTTTGTCTGATAATGGGTTATTGTTTAACAGTGAACTGTACTTTGGTCAAGAATGAAGAGACAAAGTACATTAAACAGGCAATGGAAATGGGTCAGTTTAAGGAGCTTCATGAATTAAATACAATGCTGTGAAACAACAATTTAATATGCACAAACAAGGTTCACATCATAGCAGTTCTCTTAAAAAATTGTGAAAAAATCAAGCAATTAATGTTAACACATCATAGCTACAAGATACAAAGTTTATGTGATTTGGCTACATGTACACAAGGAACATTCAAATAGATACCTGAAAGGATAAAACAACTGATTTACTTCTAACCAATGTAACTTTGAATAAAACTTTTACCCATCAACAGCACCATGATAGGTCATTTGCCACATTGAAATATAGCACAATGATGTGTCATAAAACAAAACTTACATAAATCTTAAAGTATATTAGTCATACAATTCAAACTGTTAAAATTGAGCTCACTATATGCTAGCTCAATGATATGTAACCGCTACAGACAAAGGAAACTTACGGTGCTCACACAATGACGGGCCCTTTCTGTCATATTATCCCCTTCACCCTTATTACGTACAATATTACACTTCTCTTTGTGAACATAGTTATTAGCACAAAATAACTTGTAATAGGCAACATATAATATAGTCATAGGAAAAGCAAAAATCCATACGAAATAAGCTTTTAGGGACGTGATGTAACATGAAGGACCTGACATTGTGGGAGCACATCTAGAATATTAACATGTTGAAAAGTTTTGGGAAGATATATACCGTGGGTTTGATGGACGCAAATCAAATCACACAAGGTTAAATACAGTAATTCACCTAGCATGGAAACTGAAAATGGAGACTGAAAATAACCACAACAATATCTGGAAAGAGAAAAAACAACCGCAAAAGCAGAGATCGTCGAGACAACCAATCACAAAATCAGGAACCATCAAAACAAACGCTCATCTTCAGTACCCTCAATGTGTGAACAACTGCAATCAAGCACAAAAAATAGCACTTCGATTCTGAAAGAGAAACAGGACAGGAAACAAAATATTCCACATGCCAAGAGTGCTTTGAACAAGGCTTAGCTTCTGACGGTTCCTGAAGGAGTGATGATTGTGCTTTCACTCACCGTACCGGGACCAGCGGTTGTCGCGTGCGATGTCACCGTTGAATGTACGATCACTTGTTGAATATCCAAGACAGGGGCACAATCCACACATCACAACACTTCACTGAAGCACAGCATAATCTTCTGGCCAAGCCAATTTTGTGGACAAATTCACTAAAGGCTGAGAGGCGCCAGTCCAAAACCATCAGATCGTTTGGGCTCACATCAGAAAATAAACATCGCCTCTGCACAGAGAGATGCTCCGAGTAAGCACGAACACTGGACCATCTTGTGAGAAGCACAGAACACCAGTGAACCACACCACACACCAAATAAACCACAGCACTGAGAAGTATTGTCACAAAAATACACACAACACCAGGGAAAGTTTGGTTATAGTACCACTTATGTTTCTAGCCTGTACATAAGCCTAAACCACATCAATCGGCGTTTCCAGGCTAGACACAGCACTCGCGCGCGGAAAATGTCACGTATCTATTATAACATTTGATTAACGAAACGACAAACACATGCGGCGCGTTTGTTACGGCAAATATCGCGTATTTTGACACTTTTGTCGACCAAAACAAACCGTAATCGCGAAAGGACGGCAGCCATGCCTGTTTATGAGAAACAGTTGAATCTCCCAAGATGCAACGCGGCGGGACGCGCGGCCGTTGCGAAAACTGCGTGACCCGTGGCTTATTCCCCGTCGCCGCATTTCCACGTGAAGTGTGAGTGTGACGGAACTCTGTGGCCTGTTATTTCTAACTGGTTCATTTTAACGTCATGTCTTGAACGAAAGGGTTAATGGCATCGCAAGTGTTAAAGTTAGGGAGAGCACCACGTCTGCGTTTTTGGGTTGCGCGAGCGTCACATGTGACGCACACCCTTTCACTGAGTGTTCTATTAAGTAATGTACCAGGAACCAAGACTATGGAACAATAAACTAACGTTTTTAGATATCCTTTACACCTTGTGCCATGCTCTAAAGTCAGAGCTGTGTAGTACAGAGGGAATAAAACAGCTAAAACAACTACGGGGAAGTTCATACTAGGCGTAAAGATAGAAAAGTGCAAATCTATCGAGTTCAAACCCATGGCTTGTTCTGATTTCGTGTGAGAAAATTCACCATTCTTATTCTTACGACGTGAAGGACAGTGTGACGGAAACTTTGAATACTACAGTGCAACGCGGCATTGCGAAACGTAAACAAACATCAAATTTGTATCAGATTTTTCTTGCAGTGTAGCCAGTAGAGGTATTTTATGAAAAAAATCCTCTGAGAGCAAAGTATAGTATATTTAAACTTACCAAGTCATTTTCTCGAATTTTCTTTTTAATAAATTTTAAATAAGTTCTCCCCAGTAATTATTAAACAAATATAGTTTCAAACTTTTCGACGAGGTGCTCGATACGTCTTCCTACAGTCGCCCGGTGTGTTGGCAAGAGATGGGGCAGCTGCATGGGAAGCTTCGCTGTTGTTTGCCTTTTGTATGTGCGTGGAGGTTAGAAATTCTGAAAATATGGCCTTCATATTCGATATTTTGTGATCATTACCTGAAATGAATGCATTTCTTCTCTTTTCATTCGAAGTTTTCTTCCATCGGTGACAAGAGATGTTCTCGTATTATGTGAGATGAGTGAAATGATGTGGGTTTAAGTCTGTGCTTAAGTCTGCTTTGTGTATACTGCGTCTTTCTCGTAAACATTTGGTTAAAATATGTTTGAAAGGCGAAGAAAAACATGTGTTTGATTTGAAATGGAACCTAGCATCAGTGCATCTTCTAATTTACTTTTATAAGTCTTCAGTGGAAATATTGTGGTTATGTGTATCCTCTGTCATGAGTGCTGTCTGTTTGGGTATGTCTGAATTCAGACGAAGAATTGGTTGATTTGTTTCTAAAATTCTGTTTTTACCTAATCGTGATGGTTGTAAGTACATATATCCACATTACTTTTATAGTTTGTAAGGCATGTGCATGATAGAACTAGCTAAGGCCCACACCATTCTTAGTTGACATTTAGGGATGACACTATTTTTCTATCTTCCAAACAGGTAATTCGCACTCTGCAAAATCATATCATTGGCGAAATTCATCTTCCCGAAAGGCTCTCAAAGATCAAGTGATAGCACTACCCTCGCAGTCAAATCATCGGTCCAAACCACAAGTCATTCATGAAGATTATTTCAAGGAAAGAGAAGCGGCAGATGTTTTAACTTACCTCTCTAATGGCTCTTCTGCACAAGAGCTGTTGGATCAAGCATATTCTGATGATTGGTTGGGCAGTGATGATGGTGAAAACAGACTAGATTGGTCTCAAAATAAACTCTGTAAGCGTTCACCATACGAAGGTCCAGGCTCATTCCCGTGTGAGAGCTGTGGAAAAATTTATAAGTGGCGAAGAACTTTACAGAATCACATCAAAGTTGAGTGTGGGAAGGATCCTCAATTTCAGTGTCCATATTGTCCATTGCGATCCAAAAGGAAAGGTAACATATCAGCTCATATTAAAGCAGTTCATGGAGCTGGGTGATATTAGGAAATGTTTCCTGTGGATTCCTTGAATTGTATGTACGTTCATTTTTGTGGTTTGCCCTCAATTTTTCTTTTAATTCCAGTGTGTCCTGCAGTCTAGTCACAATTGTAAAGTGCCGGAAGCTCTTTTCTTATTCCATAGTAATCTTTAATAGGTACTATGTTTTCTCCCTCATTGATTTCTTTTATGTCATTGAATTTTAAAGTTTGGTTATTTTTATTGTTTTGAGTTATTTCAAGATTTTACTATTTTGTTCACAAATCATTGTAGCTGTCGTTCAGTCAATGAGCTTTCCAGATCTTGCATGGCTGTTGTATTTACTTCTCTTGTCCATTTGAGTGCCATTATGTATCTACAGTCAACACATCTGTTGTATACACTATCTGAATGCATCCTCTAATTTTTCCGTGATTGTACCTTATATTTTCAAATACCCTTAAAATTGGAGTATCGTATTTATGTATTTTGTAGTCATGTTACTCTTCTGAACGAGAAATATTTTTTTTTATCAATACTGACTTTGTCACAAATCCTACCAGATCATAAGGCAAAATCAATTCTTCTTGATTCTCTATGCCAATAAATTTGTATCTACAATTGCCGTGTCAGCTTATTCCTATGTTGTTTTTTATCGGCCAATAATTCTGTTTTTACTCTTTTAGGGAAATTATTTTTCACTCGATGTGATGAGTGTGTTTCTGCCAGCTCATTTGTTGCACTTTCCAGCATGTTAAAAAATGTCAAATTATTTCAGTTTATCCGGTGTATCCCCAGTGTCATACCATGTAAGATGTCTTTTTTTTTTTTGTTCATGCCAGGCATTGCTCGGAGCCTCATACCAAGCTAACGCGAAATCTATTGTTTTCAGAGCTCAGCTGGGATGCGGAGGACAGCCCGGCGGCTATGCCGGCGTTCAGGGCGCCCACCTTCCCTAAAAGCTCCACGGAGGGCTTCGCATGCGCCGCGTGCGGCAATCGTTACCGCTGGAAGCGCAACCTCAACCGGCATGTGAAGCTGGAGTGCGGGAAAGAGCCGACGCTGCAGTGCCCGTCTTGCCCCTACCGCACCAAACACAAGAGCAGCCTCAGCGCCCACATGCACTGTCGCCACCAGGCGGGGGCGTAGTCCCGACGCGGCCTCCCCGACACTGTCCCTGGGACCTGGTCCGTGTGCGCCAGTCAGGGGCGCATTGCGGCTGGGGCCTAGAGGGACCCGCTCGGCACCAGGTGACAGCGCCCTGGTGTCGACGGTCGCGCTTGAGCTGTCACGGGAGGTCCGAGGTCGTTGCCGCGCCCCGTCTTTGGATGTGATGTATTAAAGAAAGTGATCTAAATACAAATCGAGCCGCTCTCTCGTCGTGATTCTGTGCATCTGCCTCTGCCCACCTCAGCAAGTCGGCCTCTGCACCACCCGCACCCCCGTCACGCCTCCACCGCCCCGATTCTAATCTCTCTCTTCTTTTTCAGAGTTGTCGAAGTTCTGGCAAAATCAGTTTCTGAAGGAGGCTCGCCGAGGAAGTACGACCAACGGGGCCAACACGGCGACAAACGGCGTGCTGGTGAAGCCGCCGCCGCCGCCTCCCATGACTCCGCCGTCCACTCGCTCTCCGCGCCCGCGGTCCGGGTCGCCCAGGTCCCCGCGCTCCCCCGCGGCGGGCGCCGACGGCAAGGTGCTCTGGCTGCCGGAGCTAATGCGTCGCCGCTCGCTGGACTTGAGGGACAGCGGCAAGGACAACGTTCGGGACCTGTCGCTCCCCAAGTCTGAGGAGGACATGGTGGCCCTAGACATGAGCGCGAGCATCCTGATCCAGCACGCCGAGGATCACGCCAAGCAGGAGGAGGACGACGAGAACGAACAGGCCCTGTTGGACGCCACGCCGGGTGAGGGCCCCGGAGCCTTCCCTTGCTCGTCCTGCGGCAAGGTGTACCGCTGGAAGCGAACTCTCCGCAACCACCTGCGCTCTGAGTGCGGCAAGGAGCCGCAGTTCCAGTGCCCATACTGCCACCTGCGCTCCAAGCGCAAGAGCAACATTTACGCGCACATCAGAGTCGTGCACCACAAGCCCGTTTGACCATAGGGACGGGACGGGGCCGCCAAGGCCGAGAAGGCCTCGGGCCATAGTCTGAACGAGGCAGCACGGATCCGAGGCCCGTACGCTGGCCTCGTCACCCTAGCAGAGCTAGCGGCCCTGTTCGCCCCCCACACCCAAGCTGGCCACTAGCTAAAACCTAAGCGTCATCGCAGCAAAGCTTGGCCTTGTATATTTAACGCCCCTTGTCTCGACTGGCGTCTTTGCTCAAAGTCTTATTAATACGGCCATGTAGTGTTCCGTCGGTGTCGGTGGTAGAGCCGTACTCTTTGATCTGACCTGAGACGGATTCGTGGGTGACCCTAGTCGCCTCCCTTGCTTTCTCTCTTCCTTCTTACCATAGTTGTGTGCATTAGTGTGATATACTCTTTTTATTTTCATTCTTATAATTTTTCTATCTTGGCTCGCTTGTGAGTGCTGCTTGTGGGTGCCTGAATCTCAGTATACATATTCATGATCTCATGCTTTCATCCACTGCACTCACGCACTCACAGGCGATTCAAGGTATTTAGTTTGATAGTTTGTATAATTTGTCATCTTGAAACAGACCATTTATTTTTGAGTGTCGTGATTTATTGGATAGGATGGATGTCACGTGTTGACTCAAAAGTAGACGTTGAAAGTTATTAGATTTCAGTCTTGCTGTAATGTTCTATTTGTCAGAGAGCATTCTTGTTTTTACTGCCTGTCCAATTCCGTACACTGTGTTAATTGATTACACAAATCATCCTCCAGACTTTGTTTGTGCAGAAGAGGTCTTAGTACGGTTTTACTATGAGATTCTTCTCTATAAATCTTGTCAAATACCTCTTAGTGAGTTATTTGATTCCTGTGAGCGGTTATGAGCTACCTCTGTATTTAAATTATTTAAGGAGACTGCCGGAATCCCTCAAACTTTAATGTACATATTTTTTTCATCAGTCATGTGAGTGCAGTATTTCTGAAAGTATTTTAGTGTGTTCTTTTTTTCTTTTCTTTTTTTTGTGATTTGAAGTCAGAGCTCATTTTAGTATTTTCCATACAGCCATCTTTATATGACATATATTGGTACTTTGAGATTTCTGATATTCATTTTGAAAAGAATGTTTATTTTGAGGTGAAAGTTTTTAAAAGTGTGAGTTTTATGAAGGTATTGATTGAAACAATATATTTTGTACTATGGTCATTCTCATATTTTTTACTTGTTATGGTATCTTGTCTAATTATGACTGATAGAGGACATGTTGAGACTGGAAAATTCATCCATGTAGATTTGGTGAGCTGTGTGTTTTTTTGTGTTTTTTTTTTTACATGTGCCAAAAGTAATGCATAAAACTGCTGTACGTAAATATTTCTTGTTTTCTCGAAAGTGCCATTGATAAAATGATGAGGCTCTCATGATCTTTTCTTTGGATTATATGAGATTATGTGCTTTTGCAACTTAAATTCTTTACCATTACCATTTTGTGTGCAATTTTCGTGTTAGTGTGATGTATTTTTCTAGATATTAGGAGAAGTCTTTGTGTGTTGTTTTTCAAAACCCAAGACTGTCTTTATTAAAGGAAATTAAATTATAGAATGATGGAGACTTAACTATAAGTAGATTTAGAGGTTTTTCTTATATTGTCATATCTTAATGAAACTGGTAAACTTTCAAATATTTGTTTTGCGTTAGCCCCTGTAATAGATACAGAGTGTTTTTCTCTCTCACGTAATTTAACCAGTCAAATTGCTGCTCAATTTTACTACTTTTCAGGCTAATATTGACTGGTTGTGTGATTTATTGGCGTTTCCTATTCGTAATTAAGTTAATTATGATGAATTTGTATTGCTTAAGGACTGGTTGGCTGAGCAAAAGTGAAGCCTATCATTCCTTGTGTGCATACTTTCCATTCCAAAGCCTTCATAAGAACTCAGGAGGCTCTGTAACACACTTTTCTCACTTCTGCTTGATCATGATTTGTTCTTATTGTGGCGTTATCTTTCCTATCTGTTTTTGAAGAGGGGAGACATTTTTTGTACAAATATTGGCGTCATGATCTCATTTTTATTCCAGGAATATCTTCTGTTCCTGGAAACCACCCTGTGCTTGAAGTCATTTCATATGACAGCCATGTTGAACTCAGGTTATAGAATTATCAAGTCAAGTGTGTGTACTTATGTGTTCTAAGGAGTGCCATGTGTGTATTTATTTCTGCCTATTGTTTGCCATATTTTACTGAACCCCAAGTTAGACTGAAATTTGGCTCTGTGTGACAGTGTATTGTAAGCCTGTAAGTT